TTGGTCACACCGGCATGAAGAATGAGCGACATGAGGCGCCGCGCAGACCCCCCAAATTTTGCTCAAGAGCTCGTGAACCCTGGTCCCAGAATTCTCTCTTGCTTTCTCTTTTTTCTCTCTCTTTTTTTGTTCAATCTCGCACAGACATGGCGGCAATGCGGAATGAGGCAATCCCGGTAGGCCAGGCCCATTCTCAGCCTCGCGGTGCCAACTTGACCAAAAAGACATGATTGGAGCCCTTAATGTTAGCTCCGAGAGCCGCCTCGGAGCAAAGTGACAAGAATGTATACGTGCCTCCGAGACACACCCCTGAATAGACGGGCAAGGCGAAGAAAAAAAATGGATGGACTGTGAATATAACCCCACGAGCTTATCGATGCCGCTCGGGAATGCCCGTATCAACAACAACAAGAAAAAAAATCAACTGCCGGCTGTATCAATGACTGAGGTTCATATGCCAGATAGCAGAAAAAGAGGGCCCCGAACGCCTGTAAGCCGTTTCTGCGCCATGTCACAGAATTGATGTCATTTCGAGTGTGAATTATAGATTATTATAGTTTTGTTTTCCCTGATGACGCTTCTCGACACAGGTCCCGTAGCGCCACTTTCGCCTTTTTACGGTGCCAACGGGCGCCTGCAGCAGCCTTTCCTCTGGGGACCTTGCCACAACTTGTTCATACCGGTAGTTAATGGCCATCTGTCTGGCTGAGGCGCCGGCCACAGCCTCATCAAACGGTAACGGCTTATTGGTTCATGGGCCTGAAATGAGGCAGAAGGCTGGAGGCATCTGCACCAATCTATTCGCTAGTGGCGTAGGGTTGAGCTACTACTTGAGTGGTTGGGGAGCCCATATTCGTGGGTACTCGTAGCGTGAAGCCACTCGCGTTGCTAGTTATCTGAGCTGTCAGTTTTTCGTTCCTTGATCTTGACTCTTTGGGTATGCTCCCCTGTCGCACTATTTAGAAAAAGGCAAAACGCCACCTCCACAATCCGCCCAAAGACACCACATGGGATGGGGACTGGCAACAATTAGCCAACTTATTAAGTAGTTGCTGGTAATAACTACGAATGATAAGCCATAAACTTGCAGGGGATAGAGGGCGCGGCATCATGTGGCTTAAGATGGCGGCAACTATTTTCATTCTTCTTTTTTTTAAATCTTGCCCATTTACTTGGCAGCCGTGTGATTAGAATCGCCATTCATGCCAGACTCCAGTGTGCGGCCAAGTTGAAGATGGAATGGGCACCTCAATCTCGCCGCTTTTGATCCCCTCGGCATAAAACGCCATCATTACAAAAAGTGGAAGTAGCGGGGATATATATATACATATATATAACAGTGGATGGGCAGATGTGCAAGCATAAATGGGATGTGCAAACATAGCACCTGTAACGCGCAAAGTTTTGAACGGAATGCCATGCATGGCACCGTCAAGCAGCCAACGGAGCTTTACTGCTCAAACGCTTCCCGATTAGAATAAATTACGAATCTTTGTAGAGATATTCATCGTAGTCGAGTAGTGTTGGGGTCATGGTGATCCTTTGATTCGCTTCTGGCTGTCGCTTCAACAATATTGAAACATTTGACTGCAATCAGAGCCGACTTTGGTATGGAATTGCTTTCACATTTCTTGGCCTGTAAATACTGGAAAAACCTAGATCATCTTGTTGATGCCACTATTTCAAGACGGCTACAGTCGTCATGAGTCGTGTTCTTTCTGTTACTGATATGGCGTCACGGCCTAACCTGTTCTCATGACATCAAGTGCGCCTGGAGATCACCATGGAAGACTAAGAAGACTAGTAAAAAAAAAAACGCGCTCATGGGATTTTGAGAATCAAAGAATATTCAGCGTATAGCGAAGAATGTATTTGGCCTTTGGCAGTCTGGCAAGCAAGGCTATTAGTCCATTGACCGACGAGCTCTCACGGGCCTCTCCCGCACTGGTCTGCTTGGCAACTTGGGCACAGGACCAACTTTGGCGTCGTATATGGAAATGGCACAGAGACAAAATTTTGTGAGGAGGAATGGTAAGCTACGAGGTTTCCGATGCAGCAGATGCCTTTGGCTATCCACTTGAGGCGGCGAGCGTCTGAGCATATTCTTCTTGGCCAACTCCCATGAATATCAACGTACCGATTGACCTGTAGCCATCTTTCAGTTATATCAAGAACGCATGTACAAGATTCAAATAGTAAGTAGTTCCAAGCTGGGTGGTTGACATTGCAAGCTTGGGCTTCGTCTTTCTCGTTCTCGCGGGAAACCCAAGTCACGACCTTGTCATAGTGACAAGCCTTACAACATTACCTCTCATTATTCTTTCTCTGGCAGCATAACAGACTGGGTTATGCGTAATTGTGCTTGTGCTTCCGAATGTACGCCGGCTCCAGTATGGACTGCGCAGGCACTGGCACTTGGCCAGGCAGAGCTCTCCGTCGACAGCGCCCGAAGATCCGAGGTTAGACGAGCCGCAGCGCACGCCGTTCAAGACAAGCTCCTATGGACAAGAGACTTGATACAAGCCATGGCAATTTTTGCGGCAGTCTTGACCAACGATTAGCACTCGCCGGTGGTTACTGCTGCATCGCATCCGTGCAAGTAAACTCGTTGCGACATTGTCTTTCTATACGACAGATCTAATCTAAACACATATCATGGTTGCGGGCATGATTCAACTTTTCTATATTTGGAAGATTTACAGCCAGCTACGCGACAGAAAAAGGATGAAAAACGGCAAGATTGAGACATTGGAAAGGGGGGGGGGGGGGACGGCCTACTGATACCCATACATTGTCGAGTTGAAACCAGCCCATGCCACCCTTCTTTTCTGCGCATACCAACGAGATATTTTGGACTCTACTAGTGTTACACCAAATACCGTACCGTTCAATATTCTATTTCAATATATTCAAGCCACCGTTTATCTGAGAGGCCGCCGGACAACGAGGCAAAGGCGGCGAGGACACTAGTTGACACCGGAGCCACGCCACCAAGCCACGCCACCCAGCCCTTCAGCCCAAACGGAGACATTTTGCACCGTTTTGCACAACAAGTCTCTTCAACTTGAGAAGAGAAGAAAAAAAAAATCCGGTGCTGTCAGGGCGCAGAGCCGCGCTTGGCGTGCCCCAGCTTCGTTGAATGTGTCCTGTTCCAGACCACCGCCGTCGTCGTCTCCGGTCCAATCAATGGAACCTGGGCAACACTTGCGCAATCCGAGTTGGCCAAAAATAAAAAAATCGACTTACTGAGTGAGTCTTTCTCACAAATGACCACACAAAAGTGGCCATGATTTGCCTCTCCATCGTCGGACGCATATATATGCACGGCAAATTGCAGGACGTCTCCTGCATCTCTCGCCCGGCCGGGCGCGCGCGGGGCCGTTGCCGCATCTATTAATATTGCAGCAAAAAAAAAAAAACGAGATTCCAACGGTCGCGGGGCATGCAGGAGAAAAGGTAAAAAGTGGGAAGAAAAACAAGAAGAAGAAGGGGGAAAAATGGTTCATTATTGTGCTGCAGATACGCGTACCATGCCGACTGGTCCGGGGGGGGGGGGGGGACGCCTGTCAGTGGCGCCGAGGGCTAACTATGGAGCACAAGGTCAAAAGCAAGGAAGGATATTCCAAACTTGTGCAAGGCCCAAACCCATGAACCATTATGCCAGTTACATTATGCATCTAATCAATCATGGCGCCATTTCTCGTATATTACGGATTACCGGCAGCAATGATGAGGACGGGATCCTGATCCATGCACCGGTTTCTGGGGGTGTGTGAAAAAGTTGCCGTCTGTGCAGATGGGAGCAAAACGTATGGTTAATTTTACTATTTGGCCACTTTTTATTTTGGCGCAAAGGGTAGACAAGGAAAGAAAAGAAAAAAAAAAATGCCATTGTACTGCCGTACGAACCTTTTTGCCAACTTATTTTGTATGATTGACCTGGCTGGTGTGGGAGAGACAGCGGCTTGCCGATCGAACATACTGGGCATTGCGGCGGAAGAAAAGAGAAAAAGTGTGCTGTTTCGAAACGTCTGTTATTTTCATCAGGGAAATCTCGATGACCATAAATTACAACCATTGCCTACCGAATTTGGCCTACCGAATCGGGCTCGTCGTGGATGAGTATTTGTGTTCATCGCTCTTCTATCGACCAAGACCCTACCTACCTCAAGTTTTAGAGTGTATTGTGCAATTTGGAACAAGGCCAGAAGTAAAGTCGAATTGACCAAGCCGACAATCACTTCATAAATGCCAGTCAGCTTCGGTGGTGGAAGATGAAACACCAAAAATCAGCAGTCGTGACTTGAGAGCTCTGTCGTACTATCCAAACTACTCGATGAGAGGTCCCTTGCAGGCAGTAGAGAATCGCCAAGATGGTGTATAAAAAGTGCATTTGTTCTTCCAGCTCATGGTACTGGCCTCTTTCTTACGCATCTGTATGCCAATATCCGTCTCACATTTACCCTCTGGCAGAAGCTGGCAATGTGACCCATGCCACGCCGCTTCATGGCAAGAAAGACAAACTCTTGCAATGACGGCCACGGTAACTTCGCCTTACCTTTTGCTACCAGAATGACTGATGGCTTCTCTCATGGGCAAAGGCTGGTACGGTCGCTTCCATCTAGCTTCTTGATAATTACAACTGCATCGGCGGGGCGCAGCAGCAGCTTCATGTCCTTGCCTGCTGCGAACAGTAGTATCGATGCAATTGTGTAATATAACACCTTGGGTTGGCACCATGAAATGGCTTTCTTTCAAGCTTTTGCTGTTGCGACTAGGCATCACCATTATAGCTGAACCTTTAGAACCGGACCATTCACAACGGTACCCTCAGGCCTCATCGGACAGGATACGCATGGTTGCAGTGAACAAAACGGACTATTCAGGATTCTAGTCTTTTGATTCAAGTCGTCATCTATCTTGCCATTCATCTTTGGAGAGAACGAATTCTTTGTACATGATCGTAACAGCGAAGCACGCCGCACCACTTCTGGCCTCACTTAATTCAAGCCGTGGCTTGCTAGGGAGTTGCCGAGTCTGTCAGTCTCCGCTGATATCAACCTTGTATTCTCCAAAGTCCTCTCATCCGTGCGACCGAGCATGAGCTTGTTCACCGGCGTCTGCTCCTCCTTTAGCGACCTCCACTTCCAGGCTTTGACCAGCGGCTGATCTTGGTCTCTGCCCTCGAGGATGCTCACAACCCACTTGCCAATGTTGGGCAGGTACTTGAAAGCATGCCCGCTGCCTCCCGTGACGCACACGAGCCCCTCGATGCCCGGGACTCGGTCGATGAGATAGTGGTTGTCAAAGGAGTCTGTGTACCAGCACAGCCGGCTCATGGCAACCGGGACTTTTTCCTCGGCCAGCGCGGGCAGATATGTCTTGACAAAGTCGGTAATGACTTGGTAGGCCTTTTCTGGGAGGTCAGAAATGGCAGTCGCTCCGGTCCATCGAGTCCGTGGCACGCTTCGATCTTTGCCGTCGCGCTGCGAGACGGGGTTGGTGTACTTGATGCCGCGGTACCCGACCTTGAGGATGCCGTGGTGGTCGACGGGGAAGCCGTACAGGCCGCCGTCGACGCCTTCGCGCTGCTTGAACATGAAGGCGGGAAAGTTGGCGTGGCTGAACTTCTGCCGAAGGGGCGAGCCCTCGGGAATCTTGTACAGGACGACGGATCCCGCCGTGGTTTCGCAGAGGCCGTCTAGCTCCGGCACGAGCGACGGGGTCCAGCCGCCGCAGGCCATGATGACGGTGGGAGCGGGATGCTCCTTTCCATCCGCCGTCTTGATGCCAGAAACCTTGCCTTTTGCCTCGACGCGGAGGAGCGAGGCAAACGTGCCGGACTCGCCGCCGAGGATGAACTTGACACCAAGCTTCCTCGCCTTGTAGAGGGCGAAACAACAGGCCTTGTCGGCGACAACCACGCCGCCCGTCGTGTCCAGGATGCCGACCGTCTCCTTTGCAAACGGGTTCAAAGCATGTCCCAGGCCCTTGGACTTTGCAATTTCACAGTCTTCAGCCTCGTTTGTAATGAGCGCAACTTTCTCTTGCCCTGGAGGGTTGGCGTTTTTGGCCGAGGCCTTTTCAAAGTCGCTGAGAATCTTTTGATCTGTACACATCAGAACTCCATTGTTTTTCCAGATCAAGTCCTTTTTTGATAGACCCAAATCATTCTCATCAATGGTTTTGATTTCCTCGTTCCACTTGTTCCACAAGATGATTGCCTCGGAGCTGAGGTCTGTGTATTCTTTCTGGCCGCCGTAGGCTGATCTGATAATTTTGGAAGCATCTAGACGGTGGTGCGTGCATTTAGAGAACAGCCCACGACACCAAATGGAAGTACTTGAGGTTCGACTTTACCTGCAGATGCACCGTCGCAGCCCTCAAAGTATGAGTACCGCGTCTTATCGACGGGGTGACGATCAAAGACTGTCACGTCCGAGTAGCCGGAGCTGGCCAGGTGCAGCGCCGTGCTGAGGCCAAAGATGCCGGCTCCGACGATGATGATGGGGTCTTGTTTATTCATTGCAAAATTGCCAGGTTATTTATTGAGTAGGCCAGAGAAAACAGACGTAGTAGATTCTCCTCTATTGAAACAAGGGGAGAAAAAAAAATGAGGGGGGAAAGCCTGCTGTCGACAACAATTGTTCGGCAAAGGAAAAAGCATCGAGACAGCTTACACATACGACCTGTACGGCATTAAGGGTAAGACGCAAGGGGGACCTTGAGAGTATTGGAAACCTCAATTCTCCGCAATATACTTGGGAAGAGCCGAGAAGCGGGCAACGGCCCTCTCATCAGGGTTTTTGATGGCTTGGCGATGATTTGTGGAAACGAGGTTGCCTGCCTGCCTTTGATGTCGCGGCAATAGCCTGTCATCGTCTTACATGCAGAAAAGGAACAAGAATATAACTCCATAAATCGGTCCACACACTGCCGATGACCGGGGGGGGGGGGGGG